GGTCAAAACGCATTTGTCTGAAAAGTCTAAGGGGGTATTTGACTGGTCATAAAAATCATATCTACGTTGCCAATAAACCCTCAGCGTGAAGTTAGGGTGGATATATGACTGCAAAACCACTACTGGAAATGAGAAATCGGCTAATTTATGCGAATTGTTTTGCCATGGGGAATGCATTTGATTTTTGTACAATTAACCTAGCAGATCGCTTTTCACGCAAATTGGTTAGTTTGATATCATATCTGTACTTACCGTAATCTTACAGTAGGGTCCTATCGTGAGAATCACTGTGATTTTCGTATCCGGCACCGATTACCCCAATAGGTAGCGTTATTGTGACTCCGGCTGCCTCAATCCAGAACGATTAGGCTGTCGACTCGGTCTCTAACAAATCAAACATTTTGTAGAGAGGGACTTCTACTTTGAAATGTATAGGTGCTGCGACAGCATGCAGTTTTCAACGTGTTTTACTCAAAAAAGATATATATATATATACATGTATAAATATATATATATGTATAAATAAATAAATAAATATATATATACGATGGTCCGAGTGTGAGCGCGTAACGCGCCTTTACAGCTATTGTTGAGTTAATATTGAACATATTATAGTTTTGTAAAAAATATCCTATCAGATTCTCTTCGTATGGAGCTCCAGCAGTATCTTCTTCGCACTGTGGGTACTGATCTAGCCAACGCAACGTTGTCTTGTGCATCAGGCACAGAAAATGCTGCTCGATTGAAAGAAAAGGTAGGATTTTTTGATTCATAATATGGTTGCATGAGGTGGGTCGAAATTCCATTATCAATCTGTTATATTCTGATAACCTTGCGAAGCAAAAATAGAACGCAAGGTGGTATTCGGTTTCCAGATAGCTTTTAAAAGCTTTTGTCTTTTTGTATCGCAGGGGACTATGAGACATTGCTTTTAAACAGTCGATGCTTCTTTCTGCAATACTCTTGATAATTGTAATTGCCTCCTTTTTAGCAACGCGAAGAGACTATTGCTTCTTTGCCCTCTGGTCTTCGTGATGCAATGACTTCTTTGTTTGCCTCATTAAGAGGAGATAACCTTGACGCCTTCCATTCGGCCATATTTGATCTTTCCTCCCCTCGAGCGTTGTCGCTTGCATTAAGGCGGCCTGATTCTAAAACTAGGTAACTTGCTTTCTTGAGATGTCGCAGAAATGCTTTCACTTTTAAACCTTCCTTTTAGAATCGAAATACAAGAGAATTACACAGCTGAACTTAAGGAGCAAGTTCTGTCCCACTCTGAACCAGCCGCAGTGCTATTGTCTTGTGTTTTGTATCTACTAGCAAAAAGTGGAAAACCAGTGACTGCTAGTGGACGGTTTGTCGCTCACCTTGTGCCTCAGCTAGATGGCGTCGTGGATCAGGTATCTTTGATTTTTTTCTATATGTTGCAACATACGAGGTGACTTTGCTACTCATGGTATAATACCTTTCTCGAGTTTGCACTTGCGCA